GTCGGGAACCCATTCCACAGAAGCCTGATTCCGCCTTGTCCCGTTGACATGACCCAGAGCTGGCCAACGCAGGTACCCTGTGCTCCTGGCTGTAGTGACTATCCTGGGATAGGCATATGATCCAAGTGAAGCAATCCTCTCTTGGGTCTTTTTTGATGCTGCAATCAGAAAAGGCATTGCTTTCTCTTGGGGTTGCTAGGTTGGTCAGATTCCAGCCTCATCATGGACACATGATAAAGACCAATGCAAGAAATACAGAAAGGGGCTGGACGGCTTTATTTGATCCTTAGATCAAGTCCCGCCTGAAGCCGATATGATAGAACATTATGTAAGCTACAGTGTATGAATGGGGGTTCTCTTACTACAGCTTTAAACCATTTCTTTTTTTTTTTTTTTTCAATTTATTTGAAAGGCAGAGTTACAGAGACAGGTAGAGACAGAGAGACAGGTCTTCCATCTACTGGTTCACTCCCCAAATGGCCATAACGACCGGGGCTGGACCAGGCCAAAACCAGGAGTCAGGAGTTTCTGCTAGGTCTCCTATGCGAGTTCAGGAGCCCAAGCACTTGGGCCATCTTCCATTGCTTTCCCAGGTGCATTAGCAGGGAGCTGGATCAGAAGTGGAACAGCCGGGACTTGAACTGGTGCCCATACGGGATGCCAGTGCTGTAAACCAGAGTTTTAACTCTCTGAACCACAGCGCTGGCCCCTTGAAAATAATTTCTGACTGATTCAACTAGATTAACTTAAAAAGCATTTGGTACTTTTTAACCTTTGAAGGATCAATGTGATGAAATAAATGTTGCATAAAGAACTCTAAAATAGGGGTGGGCATTCTATTGCAGCAGGCCACTTGCAGTGCCCATATCGTGTTAGGCAGGAAGTCAGAAATGAGCTTGTGTGTGTGTGTGACAAAGGCCTAAGGCATTGACATCTACAACAGTCCAGCATCTGCATCTCAAAGTCATCCAGATAACCTTCCAGGTGCAGCCCAGGATCTGCACTTCAAACTTCCTGCCCGGATCCTGATGATCTTTCAGGGGGTCCTGCCCCTTCTACCTGATAACCATCCTTCCTCTAAGGTGGGGCCACACCAGCCAGGCTTCCCCTGTCTGATAACTTCAGGGGGAAAACTCAGAAAGGAATTTTTTGTATTTATACCCAACAAGTCCTTTGTTCTAGGAGGAGAAGAAGGAGAAGACCCATTCCCTTAAAAACCCCAGCCTAAATGTGCGCTACGCACTCTCTCTCAGGTCCTGTCTGGAGAGGAGCCCATCTGTTCTTATGGATGTCCCTACCCTAATAAACATTGCTATGTTGCTTTCCACTGCTCTCTGTGTCACACCTGAATTCTTTCTTGCACAAAGACAAGGACCCTCTGCTTCTCCGGCAACAATCCCATATCAGAGTGCTGGTTCAGGTCCCAGCTACTTGGTGCTCCTCCTAATCCAGCTTTCTGCTAATGCACCTGGAAGGCAGCACACAAGGTCCAGGTGCTTGGGTTCCTGCCAGCCCTGTGGGAGACCCGGATGGAGTTCCTAGCTCCTGGCTTCAGCCTGGTCCAGCCCCAGCTGTTGTGGGGCATTTGGAGAGTAAATCAGCAGATGGACCATCTCTCTCTCGCTCCCTCTCTGTCATTCTGCCTTTCCAATAAATAAATAAACTTTTTTTTTTTTTTTTTTTTGAGAAAAGGGGGCAGAGTAGACAGCAAGATGCTCCATGAAAGCCACATAAAGACAGGCAGGGATGGAATGAGACTCCTACCAGCCAAGGATGCCAGCCTTCAGAAGCCGGAAGAGAAAAGGCCGGGGAGACATTCTCCCTAGAGCATCAGGAGGAACCAGCCCTGCTGACACCTGGAATTCTGGGCTCCAGACCTGCCAGATAGCAAATGTCTGTGGTTTTGAGTGGAAATCTGTGCCGGCAGCCTCGGAACAAGTGCAGTCAGCCAAGGTCACGGCTCCTGGAGCCTGTGCTTATTTGAATCTCACCCAAAGTTGCAGCCACGCCCCTAGGACAAGCCTCTGCAGCCAGAGAGTCCCACCCACCACACCTAGCAGGTGCAGACCCCTTAACCACAGCTCCCCAAGGCTATTAGGGCTGCCAGCTCCCAGTGTGCCTGACACAAGCACCTACCCTGGAAAGCCACTCTCCCCTGGGAACACACTCTGGTCCCTGTGACTTTCCAGGGCCTCACTGTTTGCCCAGGATGTTTGGACAGGAAGGTGCCTGGAGGCAGCCAGCAGCTAGTGCTGGGGCGTCTCCAGTTCTTTATATTCCACGGCCATTCTGTTTCCAGGATACGGGTCTCAGGGTCTCTCTTTTGTGGTGAATGTTGAAGCCATGTCTCGACGTGCTGTCTCAATAACACAGCGAAGGCACGCACAGCATTTGCCTGCTGACCGTGACAGCACTTTCATCTGAGCAGCCCGCATCCCAGCCAGTCCTGCGAGCCAGGTAGGGAGGAGAGCCGGAGAGGAGGAGAAAGACAATCTGAATTCATCAGTGCTTTGCCTGGGGTAGTGATTAGCTACAACTCTGACCTGCCGCCTAGCATTTTAAGCAATGGCCCAACTTCTTTAGTTTCCAACGCGTGTGAGGCTGGGAGAGCCGAGAGAGCCAACTGCCAAGTCGTTACAGGCTGTGAAGTCCTCAGCAGCTACCGCGTTCCCTGTGGCTAAACTTGAACTTCCCATACTCTCAAAGCAGGGGGTGATTGCAGTCATGAATGATCCCCAAGTAGGTGTCCTCCTCTCAACTCCACTGTCAACACCTCCAGGGCAAGGCTCCAATCTTGCTGGCTTGGATTCCTTTAATAGCATCAGCCAGGGTGTGCCTCTGGCCTGCTGATTGGCTTAAGGATAGGGGTCTAACCTGAGTCTCAGTGTCCCTAAAATGTCTTTGTCAGGTCTAGTGAGTTACGAACTGGGGCTTTGGGCTTGGAGGTCAGACTGCCTGGATTGGGATCGTGGCTGGTTCTGTGACTTCGGAGAAGTTGGTTAACCTCTGAATGTCAGGCTTCTATCTCTACAACAGGAGATGATGTCTCTGAAGTGCCCGGCAGTCACTGACAAGACAGCCGCATTGTCACCAGGTAACTGCGGCAGAGCAACAACCGACCCACACTTGCCTGGCTCCAAAGCCCCGGGCTCCTTGTAGGAGCTCAGAGTGGCTGCCGCTGGGGTGCTCTTCTGGGCTCTCTGATAGGGAGAGCTGTCATATGGGATGCAGGACTGGCAGGCATGAGCTGGACATTGCTAAATCCCTGCCACAGATGTCTGGGCTGGGGTTCCCTAAGAGTCAGCCAAGAACCCCGAACTCACCCGGGCGGGTGAACAGAAACCCGGGAAGCATCTCCGCCTCTTTGGGAGGAATCGGAAGCGTTGCAGACTCACTTCTGGCTCAACTCCCGGGCTTCTTGAAGGCCTGTGTTGTGGGGACCTGAGGGGAGGAGGTCCCATCGAAGGGTGCAGGTGACTGCGGTCTCCTCTCAGACTGGGAAACAAGGGTCCCCGTCGTCCACCCACCCTTGTCTCCTAGAGCCATCGCAAGAACAAAGTCGCTAAATCTGGGTGGTTTAGAACAAGTCCATTATCGCATAGACTTGGAGGCTGGAAGTTCAAAGCCAAGGTGTCAGCAGCCTGCCTCTGTGTTACCTGGCAGTCCTTGGCACCTCCCGTCCCATAGCTGTCTCCTCTGTGTGTTTTCACATGGTCTCGCCTCTGCTTCTGTGTCTCTGGATTCAAATACCTCCTCTTACACAGACAGCACTCTGCGAAGCCCATCTTAGCTTGATTACTTCTACTGAAGACCCCACCTCCAAGTCAGGTCTCATTCTGCAGTACCAGCATTTAGGACTTTGGCATATTTTCCGAGGTGGCAGTGGTGGTGGCGGTGGTGAGTGCTGTAACTCCACTCACAACACCATCTGTGGTGGTTGTGTGTGTCAACTTGGCCTTGGTTGAACGTTATTCTAGGTATTTCTGTGTAGGTATTTTTCAGATGAGATTGTCACATGGATCAGCAGACTTTGAGTGAAGCAAATTAACTCCCCACCCCCGTAACACAGGATGGACCCCATCCACACTGACTTCCCTGACTTCTGCCAGTAGACCGCCGTTGGCTTCGAACTGAAACCCTTGCCTAGCTTTTCAGCCTGCCAGCCAACGCTGCAGATTATGTATATGGCTGCTTCTCCATCTTCAAGGATTTGCACCTGCAGATTCAGCCAGCTACACATGGAAAGTCAATGATTCCAGAATCCAGGGACTCTGTTGGGCACGTACAGACTTCTCTCTTGTCATCCGTCCCTAAACAGTACAGTGTAACTACACAGCAACTCAACTGTATTGGGTATTACACATAATTTAGCGAAGATGTAAAGCATAGGTTCTGTGCAAATACTATCCCGTTTATACAAAGGACTTGCGTATCTGTGGATTCTGGAATCCGCCAACCCCTGTGGATTCTATATACACCCTGTTGGTTCTGCTTCCCTGAAGAATCGAATGATAGGTGACCCAGGTCTTGGCAAGAGTCCTGCAGCCGTGGCAGGACTGGCAGTGCCTCCTGGGGAGAGGAAGACACCCGAGCTGCCTTTCGTCTCACCTCACTGTCAGCAAACTCTCAGTTAACCATTGAACAAACCCTTTAGAGTCTTCCGTTTTTATTACTCCTTTGGCAAAGGAAGGTTGAACAGTTCAGTCGCATTGTGAATTGTTTGGAGACACGATGGGGAAGAAATGAGAAGAAATTCCTTAGCTCCATGAGTTAACCTCAGCCTGGAGGCTGGTGTTTTGTAGGAGTTAGAGTAGGATGACTCCTTGAAAGTACTGCTCAGCATTCTGAAGTGCCTATCACACTGTTCGTTGGCTAGTTATCTATGACTTTGCAACAAACTGCTCCAAATGGGAGTGGTTCCAAAGGAAACTATTTCATTTGCTCATGATTCTGAGGTTCAGCAACCAGGCTGGGCTCAACTCGGTGGTTCTTCTGCTTAGTCTCTTCCAGAGTCTGTAGCTACTGTCACTGGCAACACACCGGAACTCGATGGTTCAAGATGACCTCACATGAAAAGCAATGGGTACCGGCTTTTGGCTCAGCTTCTCTTTCCACGTGAGTTCCCATCTTTAAGGTGGTTAGCCTGGGCTTCCTTACCTTGAGGCCCTGTGCTCTACGAAGGTGAAAGTGGGAGCTGCAAGGCCTCTTAAGACCCAGGCTTGGAAGTTGCCAAAAACATCACTTCCATGGTATTACTTTGGTCAAATCAAGTTACAAATCCTTCCTCTACTCCAAGCAAAGAAGAATAGGGTCCACTCTTGACAAGAGGCAGTGCAAAGTCACATTTAAAAAAAGGTGCATGCATAGTTATGAGGATTTGTTATGGCCAGCTTTGCAAGCAATCCAGTACATTCACTAAGCAAATTAATGTAGGGAACAGAGTGGGTGGGTTACGTCTGCATCTGCCAGTGAGGATGATACATACGATACTGATCAGATCCAGAGTTCACAGGAGATCTCACATGTGAGAGGACATTGTGGTCGATTACACCATTTGATTGAGAACCTGGTAGGGAAAGTTTCTGGCCTCTGTCTGCTTTGAAGTCTGTCTATAAATTTTTTCCTGTGAAATTAGGTATTTGCCTCATCACTGTTACAGCACAGCCGGAAGCATCTGGTAGGGCTTACTAACTTATATTCTTAGAATTTCCTTGGCAGAAATTAGCAATTTTTTTCCTAAGAACTTTTTTTTCCCCACTCTTAAAGACTGAGTCTTCAGGTTAATACTGGGGATCCACAATTCATAAATTTGTTCCTCTGGGTTCATTGTTACAAAATGAGACTTTTAATAGATTGCAAAGACTTAATAAGAGTGCTGCCTAGTCACATAATGAAGTTACTGCACACGTGGTTGACAGGTAGTAATTTATTATTATCCTTGTCCCTGATAAGAGTCATGTCATGCACAGCGGGTGCCTAATAAATATTAGCTGTTACAACATAAGCGATGGAAGAGAGTTTGTCCCTTTGTGTCTCAATGAACCATTCATAACACAGTCTTCTGTGAACACCAGGGCTGTTTTCTGTTAATGTTATCAATTACACGTAGAAGGGAGCTATAGCAGTGTGTCTTTATTATTATTAATTTATAAATGTCCTAATTTATCCTGCCACCATGTTTTGCTTAGCATAGCAAGTCACAATATTTTCCTGTCCCTGCAGTGGAAGACTGCAGTAAGTTGATCTTGCTAAAGAGAGATAATTATTAGCTTCCTCCAGAATGCATGCATTACTAAGCATTCCAGGAGGATTGATGTTTCTATGGACTTTGGACAAGAGGAGGCAGCAGCGAAGGGAGATAGGGCTGTTTTAGTATTTGTCCTTGATCCATTTGCATATCCATCACTGGTAATTAGTGAATGCCTCTTGTGTTTCAGGCGGTGGTCACGCGAGAATCAATGCGGAGGCACCCAGTTCCCAACAGAGAACCAGCGATCACCAAGTTTGCAGTCAAGAGCAACTGCTTCGCAGGGGGGTGCTTTTCTCAAAAGTCAGCAGCGAAATGGCAGATTTTTGAGCACGGTTCACTGATGTTCAAGGGTTTCTTCCTCAGATGAGCAGAGCTATTCTGGCATTTGGGATTGCTGGTTTTTTGTTTGTTTGTTTTGTTTTGGTTAGGAGCATGCATGGGAAAGGCAAGGGGATTTAAAATTCAACAGCGGATTGCTATGGGGTGTGGGGGGGTGTTAGTGGGGGATGAGGCTTTGATTGCCAGGCTAAGGGTCCAAAGAAAGAAATAAAGAAAACCTGAAACAACAGAGCCCATTCCTACATCCTTTGCACCCTAACCAGCCAGCACATACAGATGTGTTAAAAGCATTTAATTATTTAATATATTCCCAGCGAATTCTTCTTTTTAGGAGAACTTTAGATCAACCACAAGGAGGCAAATATTGACGTACTATTAACTGGAATTTGGCTGTTATTATTAAACATTTATGAAGTGTCTCGTTCAATCATTCATCAGTTCAATTTCACCAATCAACAAGTAATGATTGACGCTCTCCCAGTTGCCAGGTGCGTGGGGACTGCTAGGAATGCCGGTGGGGTTTGCAGTCCGGGGGGAAAAACCAGGCTGCAGGTGGAAGTGGTGCCAAGGCTTGTGGGTCTAAGACGCAGGCTCCAGAGCTTGGATAACGGGAGGTACTGACCAGGCTGTGGCTCTCAAAGCCTGTTCTGCTTACAATGAGATGCTTGGAGGCTGAGCGTCCGAGGCTGAGTGGCCAGGAGGCGGGGCTTGAAGTAGGGCTTCCTGGCAAGCAATTTCTGGAAGGCGTGTTCTCTGGCCAGGAGTACTGGAAGGGCGTGAGGCAAACACGAGCCACGCAGGCTCAGGTGTGCTCCATCCCGTGGAGCCCTAGAGTAGGCACGTACCCCCAGAATGCACCTGTGCGTGCGTGCGTGCCCCCATCAGGCAGACAAGAAACCCTCCTAGACTTGTGAGTCCCAGGAGTAGGGAGCCACGTGGCTGTTAGCAGGTGGCTATTATAACAGCCAGGAGCTGGGTTCGGGAGTCCAGTCAGGGCACCAAGAGCGTATACTCCTGGCAGGAAGGAAGGCAGAGCAACTGTGGGGGCTCTTGTCACCCCCCACACGCAGGGTGGAGATTGCCTCCCTGCAGGCAAGGATAGGAGAGATCATCAGTTCCTCTAACGGCAAAGGCGCAGCCTTGCCCGAGACCCCAAGTCAGGGGTGGGAGCCACAGGACATCACCAGCAGCTTGGCCGAGGGCACCACCCCAGGGAGGGCTCCATCAGCCCTGAAGGAAAGAGATCTGCAATTCAGAATGGGGTTTGAGTCACACTGAGGGAGGCGACAGGCAAGGCAGGGACCTGGGGATGCCAGCATTCTAAAAATAAATAATCCTCTCCTGCTCCCTTCAGAGGCGCTCAAGGTAATTTGCAAACATTTGCAGGCAAGTTTTCACGGGGCTGAACTGCAGGCACAGCTCCCACTGACTTCAGAGCGCGCTCCCGGGGGACACACAGCCAGGTGAGGCCCTGGTTCTGGGTAATTAAGACTTGCGGCACCCTCGTTAGCGAGGAAACCCTGGTTCACAGCACTGACACGTGGCAGGCTGGCAGCCCCGCGGCCCCTGGGCGGCTGGCGTCGCCCGAAGCCCACTCGAGCAATCATTAATGTTGCTCTCCTTCGCTTTCGGAAATCAGAGGATGACGTCACTTTGACTACGAGGGACAATCACGGTACAATCAGCGGAGCCAGCCCGCCTTGCTCAGTGTCCTCGGAGCCGCTCGCTGGTGGTACAGCTGGGGCTCGCCGGGGCAGCAGTGGGGAGGAGGGGTGGATCTTTGTTCCACCGCCACCTTCTTAGCAGGTGAACTCTCTCGCAGGGCCCTTCCCGCACCTGTACTTCTCCTTACATTTTCCTTCTCTGTTTCCTTCCTGTCCTTGCTCTTGGGTGGTCAGGCCTGGCCAGGAGGAACTCTCTAGAAAAGTCCTTGGCCCCTTCTCTGGATCAGGATGGAGGAGGGAGGAGCAAGTGAATCAGCAGCTGTCTGTCAAGCGTCCCCATGGGCAGCTGCTGTACTGTCAGCTAAGAGGGGCACCGAGAATTCTCCACTGCCTTTCTGACCCCCGGAGAACCTGCAGCTTGCATGGGAGGTACAGCCCTCCCCACACTAGCAATAGGAGTGAGCAGCACAGCTTTGGAGCCAGAAGCCCTGGGTTTGAATTCCAACTCTGCCACACTGGCTGTGTGACCTTAGCACGTGACACAACCTCTCTGTGCCTCCATTTTCTCATTGATATGATGCAATAGTACCTACCTTATAGTGTTATAATGAAGGGTTAACAAATGAATGGAAGGGCTTCAAACATGGTCCAGGCTCAATATGCATGAGCAAAACAACAGACATTTATAGAGGACTCACGGGGCTAAGTTCATCTTGCGTTTTATCCCATCCATTGAAAACAGCATTGGAGGTGGGCACCATCATTTTCCCCTGCTGTGGCTTGAGTGTCACCTCCAAAACTCGTGCAAATTTCACTGCCGTGTAACAGCATGAAGGGGTAAAATCCGTCAGAGGTGAGTAAGTGGTGAGGGCGCCATTCTCACAAGCGGGTTAATGCTTTCATCCAGGGAGTAGGCTACTCACAAAAGAAATAGATTCCTTCTGACAGGCGCGAGTCTGGCCCCTGTTCTCCTTCCCTCCAGCCCTTTCTCGGCATGCGTTGCCGTCCGCCTTGTTACGAAGCAGCAAGAAGGCCCTCACCAGAGGCAGCCCCGTGACCCTGGACTTCCCAGCCTCCAGAGACAGGAGCAACATCAACTCCGGCGTTTGTCATTTTCCCGAGCTGTGGTATTCTGTCATCACAGCAGCAAAAAAACAAAAACAAAAACAAACAAAAAAATTAAGACATAGCCAATTCAACAAAACGAAAATGGAAGCTCAGAGAAATTAAGTAAATTGGACAAACCACACTGTGAAGAGTGAGACAGCTGGTATTTGTTCCCACAGCCAAAAGCCTTGGGCAGGAGCCCATAATGCGTCTCCTTAAGGAAACCGCTGAGGGCCAAGCGCTTCAGAATGAAGAGCTCCCCAGGGACTGGAGCGGGACGGGGGGGGGGCCTCTCTGCTGAGTCATCCCCTCAGCTCACTCTTGCATTCAGCTGATTTTTATTATTATGATTGTTAATATTATTTATCTGAGACACAGAATTCCCAGCTGCTGGCCCACTCCCCAAATGTCTGTAATAGGTAGGACTGAAGCCCAGAGCTGGGAACTCAATCCAGGTCTCTCATGTGGATGGCAGGAACCCAACTACTTGAGCCATCACGGCTGCTCACAGGATTTGCACGGGCACGAAGCGAAACCAGGATTCAAACCCAGGTACTCTGATTGCAACTTTGGTCTTTTAATTGGCATCATAACCACTAAGCGAAACACCCACCCCTAGCCAATATTGACTGAGTACATAGTACTATCGGGCGCAGAGTTGGAGACGTCATGAGTAAGGTTACTTCCTCATGCGGTTGGAAGAAGAAGAGTACCTGATCAAGGAGCAAGAAAGGTCAGGCAGAGAAGCCTGGTGAGGAGGGGTGGGCAGGTCCCCCAGGACAGGGTCTTCATCTGCTTCCCCTCGCCCTCGCTCTCACAGACCGAGTAATTGGCAAACAATAGATTTCTATTTGACTCACTGTTCTGGCAACTGCCAAGATTCCTATGGAATTCACTCCCGGGATAACTAACCCACTCCTACGATGACAGCATTAGTCATTCCTGACGGATAAGCCCTCATGACCTCATCACCTCTTCAAAGTCCCACCCACCAGCACTGTTGCAATGGGGATTAAGTTTCCAATACATGAATGTTGGGGAACACAGCCCATGGCATTCCTCTCTGTGCACCCTCCCAAATTCATGTCCACGCACTTGCTCTAGCCCTAAAGCCTCAGAGCTGTAACTCCTCCGGCAGCAACTCTAAAGTCCAAAGTCCAGAGCCTCAGCTGAATCAGATGCGGGCGGGAATCAAGGCGTGATTCATCCCATAGTGAATTCCTCTTCAGCTGGAAGCCTGTGAAATTAACAAGCATATGTGCTCTCCAAATACAACAGTGGGACAAGCCCAAGGTAGACAGTTTCCTTGCAAAAAGGAGAAACAGGAAAAAATGAAGGAGTAATTGGTCCCAAGTAAGTCCAAACCCAATAGGAAAAACATTAGGTCTCAAAACTGGAAAACGACCTTCTCGGATTCCAAGTCCCACACTCCGGACACACAGGGAAGGGATTGGGTCCCCAAAGCCTTGGGCGGGCCCAGCCTCGCGGCTTTGCTGGGCTCACTCCTCCTCGCATCTCTGATTGGTTTAGAATCTCACGTCTACAGTTCTCCCAGGCTGGCATTGCACCCTGGTGGCCCCACAGTCCCGGGGGCTTGGGCTGCCCCACTGCTATGGCTCTGCTAAGCACTGCCCTGGTGGGGCATTTCTGCAGTGGCTGTGCCCATGGGCCAAGTCTCTGCCTGAGTCACCAGGCCACCCATGACGTCCTTTGAGATCCCGTGGGAAGCCACCATGGCCACAGCTCTCATATTCTTGCAGCCTTTGGCCACCTGCTTAGCGCTCCTTCTTGAACCTGCTTTTCTTATGCTTTATGTGTCCAAGATGAGAGTTTTCTAAATCTTTCCATTTCTCTTTTAGGTCTAAATTCCCTCTTTAAATCCTTTCTCTCTTCTCTCATCAGGTTGTAAGCGCCCAGAAGAAGCTGTGAAGCATCCTGAATGCTTCGCTGCTGAAGTCTTTCCGCCAGGGACCCCAGGTCACCATTCTTCCGCAGAATCCCAGGACACGAACTTGACCGCACCAAGGATACATCAAGAACGGCCTGAGCCCTGCTGCAGCTCTGGTTCCTCGTCGCCATCTCAGACCTCATTAGGAAGGCCCTGACATTGGGTGGTACCAATGTTCAGATCATGGCCACTTAAGTAATCCCTAAGATTTGGGCTCTCCCTACAGTTCTTGTCTTCTTCTGGGTCCTCACCGGAAATGCCCTTCATGCTCCACTGTGGAGTTGAGGTGTCTTCTAGCCTGCTCCTCCAACTTTGACCAGCCTCTGCCCATTCCCCAGCCCCAAAGCCCCTCTGCATTCCCAGGTACCTCTACGGTGGCAGCCCTACTTCTCGGCACCCACGCTCCATCTGAGTGCACTTTCTGCTGCTGCCATGGTGCTACCCACTGGCTGGGTAATTTGTGAACAATAGGAATTTTTTGGGCTCATGTTTCTGCAGACTGGGAAGTCT